TTTTTGGTTCCAATAGTTAAGAGTATTGGCATGTAAACACTAAGTCTGACATTCCTTTCTCCCCTAGAACCACTTTGGTGATTTGGATGGCGGCCACTACACTGCTTTCTGCAAGAATTCAGTGACCCAGGCCTGGTACAGCTTCGATGACACACGAGTCAGTGAGATTCCAGACACTTCAGTTCAAACCGCTACAGCATATCTCCTGTTCTATAGCTGCCAGCCCTTTTCTATACCGATACAAAAATGCAAGAGCTAGGAAAATAGTGCTTCCTGAAAACTGCAAAACTAGCAATCAGAAACTGGTATTTAAGTTTTGCTTTGTCATTAAAACTCTTGCATCTTGCATCACTGCTGGTATTTTTAAGTCTTTCTTGTATATTATGCAACCTTTTATAAGTCTATGACAAAGATGGTCCTGGCCCACTGAAAAAGGCAGCATGAAAAAGATGCAATGCTAATGGATGGGGGCTTTCAGAGCACTCACATTATGCTCAGGCTTCAAAAGTCAGTGGTTTTCAATGACATATTTTTATTATAAACTATCTCATAATTATATATATATATATATATATATCCAGTAAATTATTTTCCAAAGATACTTAATGGAGCTAAACCAAAATAACTTTTGTTCAAGTGGCTCTGAGAGCTTAGGAATTTGATATTTGATTTGAAAACATTTAATTGATGGGATAATTTAGCCATTTAGTCTCTTAGACCAACTGTAGAATGCGAAAAGTTAAGTTGTCAATTTCACAATTCAAAACCCAGCCTGCCAACATTTTTCTGGGAGTCAATTAATGGTAACATCTCTCAGAAGCACCTTTAGAATCTTATTTTTATATCGATGTTTATATTGACTTTACCTATAACAACTGAGTTCCTGAGGTAAGTGATAAATTCTAAGCTCTTCTATCCCTTTTAATATATCATTTCGTAAAGATGTGTTTCATAATGCAGTTTAGTTTGCAGTCGCTGCCTGACTCGTATCTTAATCCTAAGAATTCTACTACTCGTGATAGAATGAGTCTAGGTGTTATTTTATCTTCCTTTGACTCCCAACGAGAATCGTAAGTGCTATATGCAGTTCTGGGTCAAGCTGAGGAGTGGGATCAAGTGAAGCAACAGAGTAAGTGAACTAAATTTTAAGTCAAGTTAGTGGGATAAGGACTATGTGTGTGTGTAAAATCTACAATTCTGTTGTCCTATGTTTGAAACATAAAATTAATAACAGAACACTTACAGGGTTTAAAATTATTTTTCTCATTAAGATTTTAATGTAGGTGTAAATGAAAATTCTCATTTTAAAAAATTAAAGAAAAGTTTCCATTTATTTTTTAGGATAAAGATTTAGTGCACAAATACAGCCCAAAGCCAACAGAAAAATAGCTTTGCCCTGTCATTTCCCTAAGAAAGCACTGCAGTTACTCAGAATAGACCAAAAGGAAAAAAAAGCAATCCTCTGAGTTCTAGGCTTCACAAAAGGACCACATATTATACTATGTACATCGATTTGATGTGCAAGTGTGCAATAAATATATACATATATATTCCTATCTGCTTTACATCATTCTAGAGTATTCATAGATCAAGCTGGGATTTGGAAATGTGAAAAGGCCATTAACAGTGAAAAGGAAAATAAAGGATACAATGGTTTTTAGACCAGTTGAATGATAATGCTTGGCTAGTTGATTATTTTAACTTTGGAGCAAACTGAAAAAAGTTGTTTTGAAATAAATGGTACCTGTAAGGAATGCTTACTGCAATACTTGTTAAATAATGTTACTGGTCAGTTTTTGATACTAGCACTGACCTGAAGTATATGGTGATAGTAACACAGCTCCCACTGTCCTAGAATTCTTTTAAATGGCCAGCTGTAGCTATCCAGTATCTTTATAAGCATTTCAAGAGTTGTGTTGCTCAGCCTTTTAAAAGATAACTAGCTTATAACCTACTTCTCCTTATGTGGCTACATCAGTTGCTCGTGGTCCCAGTGACGTATAAAAGAGGATATAAGCTGCTGAAGATTTCACAGAGGAAACGGAGATATCAGAAACTTCGTGATCATCAAATTTAAACCACCTCTGTCTTGCTGCATTTTTACAATAGGCAGTGTAGTGGCCTCCATCCAGCCCACCGTAGTGATTCTGTGCCAAACAAGATAGAAAATCAATTCAAATTTTATTACTTAAAGTATGTCAATAATTTCAAACCTTCAAGTTGTTCTTACTTTCCTATGAGGTAAGGGACCACTTGAAACTTGATTTTTAAATTTTGCTTCGAAAGAAAAAGTATTCAGTTCGGTGAGATACTTACTGAAACAGAAAACAAGTTGTATTTCTTCAAATTGTTCTTTGGACCAATAACATACTGTGACAAGTCAAGACTTTCTAGTGGGAAGTCCACAGATGTCTGCAATTTCTGCTTCCACCTGCCATCGTAGGAAAAACTGCAGAGCAAAACATTACAGCAATTACACTGACAGACCAAAGACATCAGAATGAACCCTAATTCATTCATAAACCATTTATAGATTTTCAGACAGGACCATAAAATCCATTTCAAACACACAATCAGAATTTTAATGCTAGAGGGACCTGTTAAAAGATACTTGGTTTCATTTCTGTTTTACAAATGCAGAAACTGAGGTGCAGAGACATTACATCTTGCTGGAGTGGTAGAGGTGAGGCCACCCCTTGGTCCCTTAATCCCTAGGCCAGCTAGAGCTGTTGGCTGAGTCGTCTACAAAGGGAAAAAGTTATGAAAACCCCCAGTTACAATGCTAAACCACAGAAGTACAGAGGAAAGACAGAGAACTGTTCTAGATTTAAGCTTGTACTTTTGGGGAAACTAGAGCTGAAACTGCAAGCACAGACTCGTGATTGAAACAGTGGCATTCCATTATCCTGGCATTCTCTGCACCTTTAAATACCAAAGTACTGGTATTTTGGTTGGTGTAATATGGCTATTTCAGAATTATTTTTTTTGAAATGGAATTCTGAACTATTCGTATTTTTAGATATTCTCCAAGGGTAATACGCAGGATTAAAAATTTTAACAGAACAAATGCATAACCATTTATAGAATATTTATACCTCCACAATCCTCAAAGACAACTGATGTAACAAGCTTTTGTTAGAAAATTTACACAAGAGGAATTTGAATATGTCAATGTTGAAATTAACATAAGTCATTGGCTAAGAATCTCCAATAATATTAGATGAAACAAAAAATTTAAAAATGTTTTCTTTGAAACAAAAATTACTGCTCTCAATAAAAAGGAAACTTCCTTTTAAAAAGGTTTTCCTAAAGTGACTCAAAGTTATCACTACACAGATGGATATTACAGAGACAAGGAAATCAGAGCAAAAGACTGGGCACATGTTTATAACTCTCTAGCCATTCTTCTAGATCTTTTTCATCGGCTGGAAAAATCTGGACAAAAACAGGTATGCACTCTACAACGACATCCTTAACAATTTATCTTTAAAAATTACACTTAAAAACAAGTCACGTATTTCATTTTCAGCACAGTATTAAATCTTTTGTTATGTTTGGTTTCTTGTTTGAATGATAAATATCTGCTAATATGTGTTGAAGTTATACATTATTTTTATACATTTTCAATGCCTGTTTTGTAATGATTTTAAAATTTTACATTTGAAATGCAGTAATTTAGTTTCACTGATTTTTAAAGATGGAATTACATCAAAGAGTGGCTGATGCTGTCAATTTGCTGTTACTGCAAACGCTAAGGTGAACTGGAGTCTCATCACTTCTGCCTTACAGCCAAGAGACACCGTAACCACATAATCTTCCATTGTTACACACCCTAAGCAGGCACTACAACAAAATGTTTAGAATTAAAGATTAGAATTCCTTCATCTAAAGGGTATTGAGCAGGTAGAAAAATTCGTCCTTTTTACCGTTTCAGATGCACTAAAAGCACAGGGGGCAACTTCCAGATTTCTATTTTCTTTAGCGAATCCCGTCGAGCTCTGCAATGACTGCAGTAAAACCTGTTGTTGTCAGTTAGTTTTTCTTCTTTGGAAAATAGTCTAAGGCAGTCCTGTAGGCAAAAACAAGTAGTAGATACTCATTAATACATATTTTCAACATAGTATCACTGAGCATCTCTTCAGTAAGATACTGTGCCAGCCATAAGGAACACAACAGCAACTATCACAAAACAGTTCCCGCCCCAAGTGCACGACCTAGTGAGGAAGGCTGATGGGAGCCCACAGTTACAGAGTGCGGTGAGTGGCGGTGCTGCCGGTGGTGGAGGGAAGAAGTCCTGCGTGTCCTGGAGGCTCAGGGAACTTCTGCTGGAGGAAATAACACTCTCGAGGAAGCTAACACTGAAGGTGTCAACAAGCTAAGAAACTGCTGTGTGGAAAACGGGGTATTTATTTGATATCCCCATGGAATTCTTATAAAACGTGGACCTAAATTAAAGTCAACATACAATCTTTCAAATCAACTTTTAAAACTTCTTCAATAAATGTGCAGTTAAAGAAATATATTATTGAGATCAACTCTGAAATATTTTATAGAAAATATCTTTTAAAAGTAAAAACTTTAATCTACACAGGCCTAATTAAAACAAAATGTGTGTGTGGGTTTTAACCTATACAATGTTTATAGGGGTAAACAACAAATTGCTGAATAAAGGACATCTGTATGTGCATATAAACAATTTTTCTGTTATTTCTCTCAGTCCTAAACTTACCTGTAATGTACATTTACTCGTAGATGCTAGTGGTAGAGACAAATACATGAAGGCCTCAAATGTCCTAGACTTTTTGTGACAGGTGAGGCACTGTACTGTGGATTTAAACTGACCCTGAAAAAGTGCAACAATAATAGACTCATTGAGCTGCTTGTGTTTCTGCCAAGCATGTTCTGCAGCTTTAAAATCATCGAGATGATCATTATTTTCTTCTTTATGTCTCTTCCGATTATCAGCCTAGAAATAAGATATAAACTCTGTTAATATCCTGAAGTCAACAGTTAAATACACAACTGAAAGAGTGTATTAAATACAAACACTGCAGATTTAGAAACACTTCTGGTTCTTCTCATAAAGGAGTTCTAATCTCATCAAGTGCTACAAAAAAGTTCCAACCAAAAAAGCCTTCCCAGATCCCCAAAACCCACTTTACAAAAGGGTGCAACTTGCTGCAGTTTCTTAATAAATTTTCATTTAAGCTGAAAAGTCTGGTTTTGAAGAGAAGACACCCCACATATCTCGGAGTCAGG